CCGTGCAAACCGTGCAAGCCGTGCAAGCCGTGCAAGCCGTGCAAACCGTGCAAACCGTGCAAACCGCGAAGTAGCCAGAGCACGCTTTCACCAAGTACACTCTTGGCTTCACAGACAAAACCACAACCCAATTCTGCGAAAACGCGTCGCAAGGTTCAACACGCGAACCGCGCAAAGCACGCCCTCGCATTGGCCTGAGCACCAATTCAGACAAAATGTCCGCAAAACTTGTAAAAATCGAGACCCCTAAACAAATATTCAAAACAATGCGTCATGCACGGAACGAGAATGCAGGTTCGCGAAAAGTTTGCCTGAACTGCCAAAAACTGCGCGCCTGTGCAAGCTGCACGTTTTACTTGCATCGGTTTTGAAAACGCGAGCATGCCGAACGTGACCAGTGTGTCTAAATGCACTGGCTTGTGGTCAAGGTGCCAAACAAGGGGCCAAGACTGGCTTGCAAACCCTAAACCCTAACCCCGAACCCCTGAACCTACTTGCAGTTCCTTAGGAAGAACCCAGCAACTTGAAGGTGAACTCACATCAACCAGGCTATGGACTTAAACACGTCGACGATGCTCATGGGCCACTTGGTGCATTGCCCTAAACCCTAAAGAAACCGAGTCCCTACAGCCTACACCCTGAAGGCTGAACCATCCTCCGTGGAAAATGCAGAATATATTTTTCTGCATTTTGGTACCCCCCCCCCTTCCTGCATGTATTAAGGGTGGGGGAATCCCAAACCCTTGTGGTCGCGGCGTAAACTGTATGTAGACCCAACCAACAAAAGCCTGACGAAAGCTCGCAGGGCCGCAAGCTAAACCCTAAACCCTAAACCCGAAACCCGAAACCCTAAACCCTAAACCCTCCATATAGACCCTAAACCGAATTTAAACCCTAAAAACCACCGGCCCGCCAGAATCTGTCTGTTGACGAAGGCCGAGCTGCACGTGAAAAATTTGGGCATCGAACGTCTTGCCGCAGAAATCCTTCACAGGGCTTGCGTGCCCTACGAGGAGAACTTTATATGATGCGGGTATAGGGTTCAGGGTTTGAGGCATAAAGATCCTAGCCCCACCCCCCCCCCCCCCCCCCCCCAAAGTAGGGACCGTCTGCCTAACCCCTGAATCTTAGCATTCTTAAACCCTAAACCCCAGAAGGGGACCCCAAACCCTAAACGCTGAACTCTTTCAGCCCTTAGCCCACCCAAAGGGACCGTCACTTTGAGGGCTGTTGGAATTTAGGCTGTTGAACCCTAAACCTAGGGATGTCCACTGGTGCTTTGGGCTATGTAAGCGGTTAGCTCTTGCAGTTGGGGGGGGGGATGCCCGACGGCTATCGGCGAAACTTAAGATGGCCCAAGATTTCTGGATCATTGGTGCTTGAGGCATCTGCAGAAAGATGGTGTCGAGCCTGTCAATATTTTATTGCCATGTGTTTTTTTGTTGGTTGAACAAACAGTTTAGCTCATCACATCCGAATGTTGAGCAAGCAAAAATGTTGTTTACAAACATGTGAGCCCGTGCAGCAACAAGGAAGTCACACCAATGACACTGATGTGACAACAATAAAATACGGATGTGCTGAATAAAAGCACGACTAACATTAGTGAGTAGATGTCGAAGACAAGCATTCTTGACACAGCTCAGCATTGCAATCGTGTCTCCGAATTGTCTGAGGGCATGCATGTGACTGTGCTGCTGATGCATGAGATCGTTGCCGTTGCTTGTAGTGACAGTCAGAAGTCTTCAACATACTGAGGAAATGTCCAGCGTGCAAAACTATGCGAGTTGCTCCATGCCAGTTTCTAATGTAAGATCAGATCAGAGAATGTAACACCGTCGTTAAGCTTTCATCAGCAAAGCATTCCACACACATGAGGCACATGTGACGGAATGGAGCATGCATCATCAGCATCGTGAGCATAGTGCGTGTACCTGACTGTCTTGCATGAGCTGCCGGGGAAATGGCAGCTAGAACGTCTCGTTTGCTGCAGCTGACAAAGCTTTGTGAGATTGAGTCCGAGAACACGTTCGCGCTGGCGCTTGCAGAGCCAGAGCTTCTTTGTTGCAAAAAACAAACAAACAATAAGTCAGCCGTGCGGACACATGCAGCCACACGAGTCAGATGGGACATTTTTGTTTTGGCTTGACGCTAAGGTGGGTATCCTACTTCAGTTCACAGCATGTGAGCTCGATGGGTCAGCAGGCTGCGAAGAGACATGGAATTCAAATATGGAACCGCTTGCGATCTTCTGCGTGTGAGGCTGGGCACTCTGCACCTTCCTGTGCGCAGCATGTGTTTTGCAGTTGCACGGCATGCAAGTGTGATTGTGAGCCCTTCGACATGTTCATGTTCCTTCTACTAATGTAGAGTCGAGTAGAGACTCCTCGCGATGAACATGAATCGACACGAGGCAAACAAGGAAAATGATGAGCAACGGCAAGGACGTGTCCGCTTGCGAAGCTCCAGTGGGACAGTGTTTTACTCTGTTCTTGTGTTGGAGAATTTACCCGTGTATGCACGAACGATATATTCTGATATGCGTAGAGAGATCCATCGTAGACAACAGATTGGTGAGCCAGCTTTGAAATGCACAGTTGATGGTGGGGTCTTTGGTGGTACCAAGAGGGCGGCATCATTGGCTTTGCGTCGCGCAGCTTCCAGATGTAGCAGCAATGCTCCAAGCACTGCCAGTGATGGCGCAGACAGTGGCGGCGACGGCCTTCAGGATATCAATTTGTTCCGTGATGATATCTCTGTGTCAGCTGCATCAGTTGCATCAGCATCCAGTGATCGCTCCTCTCCACATGTGATGCAGCAGCTGGTGTCGGTTGAGCAGCAGCCGCAATCCACTCAAGACTTCGGCAACAACGCGTGGCACAGCACTAGAGTTAGCTGGAGAGCATGCAATGCATCACTTGAGACCTGCCACCGCAGCTTCCTCATCAATAAGATCAACGACTTGCAAGGGAAACTAGCTGAGGCCAAATCCGAGCTGGGAAAATCAAGGCGATCACAAAAGCAAGCTGTGAAGCAGCAAAACAAACTACAGATCAAATTGGCAAATGCGTCGACAGTTCGTGTGACAGACGAGGCAGCGTTGACCTTGGCAAAGACAACCCGGCGTGATGGTGAAACAGGGGCGCGGTTTACCGCCCGGGGGTTTCTTTCCTTAGGCATTCGCAAGGCATTGGCGGTGACTTCGGCTGTTGCATTTCCTCTTGCGGCGCTTTGTGATGTCTCGCGGCAGACAGTAACAAGGTCTGAGAACTTGACTTGGTCGGTGTTGGTTGCCCGCACTAGCACGTTTCATGCTTTGGTGAGACAACGGTTACGGAATATGGCATCTGCTTTCCTTGCGATGGAACTGGAGGTCAGTCAAGACAGTAACGAGAACGAACACCGAGCTGGAGATAATCCAGATCCAGCTTTTCATGGAGCTCTGGTGCAGGAAGGCAACAATGATGCTGATCCGTTTGACGAATGTTCCGCGGATCGTGAAACAGTTCTAAGTGCAGACCTTGGATTGCAACAGATACCTGAGCAAGATGCAGCCATGAACGCAGCTGTTGTTTGCAGGGGCAATCCTTTGGGCAATTTGAATTTGCATTCATGGTTTGGATTCCGGCGTGACCTGGGCAATGTGGATAGCATGGGTAACGTGTTCTGTCTCGGCGGCACGTGTTTGGCAGGAGATGCTACAAACAGTGGAATTTGGCGTCGAAACAAGTTGCAAGGGTTGATGTTAACTTCGGCGTGCATGACTGACTCTCAGCATCTATCAAGTGACACAAATTTTCTCAAAGCGTTCGCGTTCCACACGACTGTGTTCCCTGGCGTTGATGAGCAGTAACGAGTAGCGAGTGTACTGTTAAGTTATACAGTTATACGTCACATGCAAGATCATTGTTCCACGATGTTCACAATGTTGAAACAATGTCGTCAGTCTGAGTCTGAGGTGTGATCTCCAGATTGTGACATCAGGCACGGCTGCGAACAACCTGGCCATCGTGCTGAAGCAGCTGCGTGCGTGCAAATGTTCTAACTGGCACGATCTCGCCGCGATGTTGGAGACACTGGACATCATCATCGAATTATAGTTCGTACATTCGTACATTAGTTCATCATCAATCGTAAATTTAAATTTATCAATGATATTATGACAAGATAAGAAGGACCAAGGTTTAGCCGGCGTAGTCGTATAGTCGCATAGCTATGGTATGCGGTATGCGTACTCTGGTGCACGATTCTTGCAGACACGATGCTGTTGCGGCTGTTACTGAATGGAGTGACCGTAGAGACACCGTGATCAGAGAAGAGTCTGATTTACATTCACACAAGTCGAGGGCCCCAGGGCCCGGGGTAGCGTTGGAAATGTGTTCGGAGTGTGATCAGTGATTATTTATGTTTCAGCAATTGATGATTCATCATTGTCAGTCAGACTGTGAGACTGTGCGTTGCGAATCCGAGGAAGGGGTCACTTCCTCGGTGCTACATCCACGTCTGGTCCATTTGCGGTGACTGTGGCACAGACCAGACAGGTTTCCGTTCGTCCTTGCGCACTGTGTTGAACAATGATCGTTTCTCGAACCAGTTGGTGTTCGAACAGCCCTGCCTTAAGCATCAACTTCACTTGATGTGCAAGGATATGACACAGCTCATGGACAAGCTACTGGCATCACACGTCAGATCTTATGGCTACTTCGGGTCAGTTGCAAAGATATGTCACACATGGCGAGCTCATGGTGTCAAAATCAGCAAGGTCTGGCAACACATTGTGCCTCACTGTTGGGAACACAAGGCTTCAGCAAGTGTGCCGCCACTTGCTGTAGCCGGCAGGTGGGGATCAATCGACGGATGCATGTCTGCGTGCAGAACGAGTTTTGTTTGTTAATGCGTCGACGTGTGACACAGCTTGTCCGAATTGAACATGTATTTCAATGAGCAGAGTTGAGTGAGTCCTGTGAGTCTCGTGAGTATGTAGCTGTGTTGCATGTGTGATGATTCACACGTGCAATCTTTGCAACCGCAACCATTGCCGCAACCATAACTGTCAAAACCGAGGCTCAGAAGACTTCTTGCTTCATGGACCACCAGACTTCGTGGTTCGTGTCTTTCTGGCTACTTTCGCCACACGCCAGTTCAATGATCAAATGTGTGATAACGGCGATGGCAACGAGCAGCAGTTGGCCAGGGCTGCAAATTGTGACGATGAACTTGGCATGGATGAAACACGCCACTATCGTCTCAAGGTTAGCAAATGGATCAAGGGCTCGCTCATGTGTTTACAAGATCCACTGTTCTGGTTCATGATGTTTGCTGCGAACATGGCTCGGGAGCCAGTGCGTCACATGTTTGGCATACTCTCATCATATTCCGCGCAAATATCCGCTCGGGTTCGTGCGCCGAATGCATCGACCGGCGAGTGCGCGGAACTGCCGATAGTCAACTTTGTTACTAGGCGGCTGGATGAGATCAATCGTGAGTTTGCTGCACTCAGGGCTAAGGTACCGGACTGGACACATGCAACTCTCCAGGTATTGCGAACGATGATTTGTTGGAACGAGGAGACGGCGCTGCAATCTCATGCTATGGAAGCCATTGCCGTGAAACTGGTGCTGCTGAATCACGCTTCTTTCAAACGTCGTGTTTATTCGCTGTTCTCGAAGAAGCTTGCCTGAATAATTGTATTGTCACTGATCGTGTAGCTCGTGTTGCAGCTAGCATGTGAAGCTGTGTACACCGCTTTGATTGGGACAATTGCGATGCTAAGGTGGCCGTATAAATTGTTCTGGCTTCTGAAAGCGCCGCCGCAAGACGCCTGTCAAATTCGTCGAGGCACGTAGTGCAGTGCATGACGCGTAGTACTTAGATACGTTAGGAACTTTCGCATGAGCCTCGTGAGCCTCATGAGCTCATAAGGAGCTGGTGCAGGCAGCAGCGTAAAGGCGTAAAGGCGTAACGCGGCGTAACGTTAGTAAAGGCCATACATTATACATTATACATGCAAAAAAAGCAAAAAGGCAAGCCACGTGTGTTTCAAGGCAAAGGGTCGGAATATGTCATAGGTGCAGGCCCCAGGCATTGCTGTGTTGGGTTGCGGCACTTTATTTGTATGGAGAGTTCCTGAGTTCCAATGTAATGTCAGTGACTGTCAGTGTTCAGTGTTTGTTGTTTGTACCGTCAGCCCTGAAGACATCGCACGACAGCTTCTTGATGCCAACCGTGCAAGCTTGGAGTCAACTACGCGAAAGATTGTACAACTCTGCACGCACGAGCTGGAAGTCATGGCCGTCAATGGATGCATGCATGGTGACGGACGCTTGCGTGCCTGCCTGATACTAGCGGCGTCACTTATTCATTTAGATATCCAAGAGGTGGAGGGGCTCAACTCGATGATCAAGATGGCTGTCCACAGATCCAACAACAACAGGTTGACTTTGCAGCTATTGACATCAAGAGTATGTCTGCGTAAACTGATTTCTCTACACACCGCTGGCGCCAGCAGCACAGGCAGGTATAAGGATGTGGTGCCTGCTGCAGCGGCATTGGCTCGGTCAGCTTTCCTGTACAACGACATCGGTCAAGAGTTAGTGGCGGACAGCGAACGCTGGCAAGCATGCCAGGAGGTGCCACTGGTGCGGGGGGATCCGGCTGTGTACAATCCTGAGTTGGTTCCCAAACCAGCTCATCTTTGGGCAATGAAGTACAACACACAATTCATGCGGCAAGTAAAGGCACACCAGAAAGACCCTGGACGATCGAGAGATAGTATGTTGGCTTTGGTGATTCCAGCTGTTGGGTACTGTACAGCTTCCGAATGCGACAGTCGCCTGGACATGTGGGTGGTTTGTGGTGTGACACGGTCTCAAGCCATGCTACTGAAGGTTTGTCACTTGCAGGGAGATGGCGGTACAGTCAGCATCGATACATCATCTTCGTTTGAGTTCTCAGTTGAGTTGATTGCGTCGACTTATAGCCGAGTTGAGACGGACGCAAAGGCGAGGAAGATGCAACGCTTGACAATTTACTCGCAGGTGTTGCGAGTGATGGACTCACGTCCGAACACAAACGCTGTTGGAACGTGTCTCAAGCTTGAGGGAGATCCTGTGCCGGTTTGCGAGCTCAGGGCACGCTACCAACGCAAAGAGGGAGCTTGCGAGGCGGCGCTCCTGAATGATGGCAGTGACAGTGATGACGAGGGCAATGCTGGCGGTGTGAACCCTATGGACAATGAAGATATGATGCGCATGCTACATGGATTGGATGATCTTCCCGAGGCCAGTGGAGATGACAAGGCCAACGAAGACGCGTCTGACGATGCGTCTGAAGCCGACGACGAGGACATGCGTGGTCTTCGAGGACTCTCCCAGTTGGACGACCTGAACATCAAGCTTGCTGCCACGGCCGTGAATCAACAGTCAGCAGCCGACAGTGAACACCTGCACGCAAGGGTTGCTGGACGTGTCTCCTTAGCTTCGGACGTGTCGCCGTTGTGTCCAGTAGACGAGGAGACCGAAGCTATTTTGCAGGAAGTCTTGCTTAGTTCGGAGCAGACGCTTTCTACTGTGGCTCAGAGCCAGAACCGTTCTGACACGCAAGCTCATGGCACGGAATCATCACATGCATCTGCCGACGTGAAGATGCAGGGCTGCACGTCTGCAGGCCCTGCATCGGCTATGGCAGACCTAGACATGTTCTGTGAGGGGTGGAAGAAGGCGGCCAGGGCTTCGTGCAACGCGCTGGTCTTCAGAGACAAATCTTCATCAAGATCGTTGGGTGACGGCAGTTCCTTGGGCAGGAAAGAGTGTCATGTCACGCGGTAAGTCTAGAGTGCTTGTGGCGTTGACGTTGTGCCGATGTGTGAAGATGCGTGAAGCTGGCCTTGTATGGATGCATGTGTTGCTTGTAGCTATTTGTAGCTCCCCACCCACAGCCTACTGCCTGACCGCTTGACCGCCACGGAACCATAGTCACGCAGTGCACTTCAGGCGAGCTGAGTCTGCTTCTGGATGAGGATACTGGCTCCATCAATATTTTGCTGGTGCAGTGGACCAGAGCCAACATATCAAAGGCCAGGGTGATTGAGTTGGATGAGAACAATTGCATCATCTGTCCGGTGAACTACGCTGTACGCAGCAGGTCTTTTGATTTCGATAGTAAAACTGATGTCATCTTGCCGGCAGTCGGTGCATGTGTGAAGCGTGTACGGAAGGCAGAGCGTCCAAAACTTCCCGAACACGCGCTCAGGCTTCATCAAATGTATTCCCACGCAATCTCACTGCACAGCCAGTTCGAGAAAAGGTTTCTGTTTGATGAAAGCCGCAACGAGATGGTGTGCGCAATCTGCAGACTTACAGAGGGAGATGTTCTGACGTGTGCATTCTGCATGTACAGCATGCACCGGACATGCTGCGATGCGGTGTTGACACATAAAGGTGCTGCAACGCTGCTTCAAGGTGTCAGCAGCGCCTTTGGGCAAGATCTTTCAGCAAGAGTGATCCCCAACATGTTTTTAGCGACAGAGAGCAGTGGCTCTGCATCATCGTCTTCGTCGTCTGCTATGCACTCTTCGTCTTGGTCACAGCTCCATGTCATGCGGAATGAATGTTCTGGGGTGGCTTGAGTTGCGCGTTGTGAGATCTGCTATGATTGCAGTGCTTGCAGCGCTTGCACGTGTTGGAGGCGATGAATAACATGTGTGTGACGGCGACTTAGGCTTCGTGGTTTCTTGAACAAGAACGAAACAACAACTTCACGACTGCAAGCGTCGCCTGTGCTCTGCAGCTGCTGCAAGCATTTGCTGGGGCAGTGTCTCTGCTGCATGCTCAGCGCCACAAGAGTTCGTCATGAGTCATGAGTTCACGCGCCAGAGCTGTATGCCTGCTTTGCGATGTGTTGCAGACTTACTTGCGGCCCAAACTGTCAGGATCATATTCCACGACGAATCTGATGATATCTGATGATTTGAGTTGCTGCTTACAGGCCCAGATGCATGACATGCAGCTTCAAACAGTGTATCAAGTCATGAGGTGACAGTGACAGTGATGGTTGTGCAGCTGTTTGTTTTTGTGTGCACAGCATACTGACCCCTGTGTGTCGGACAGGCCTGCGTGTATGATGGCAGTGGCTACATGGCCCCTTATCGCGCGCGCCTCAGGTGCAGCTGAGGGTTTAGGGTTTTGTTTGGGTATGGGTAGGGTTTGGATTGGGTGTAGGGTGTAGGGTGTAGGGCCTTAGGGTGTAGGGTTTAGGGTTTCGGGCTTAGGGTTTAAGGGTTTAGGGGTTTCGGGTTTAGGGGTTTAGGGGTTTAGGGCGGTTTAGGGGTTTAGGGGTTTAGGGCTCTAAGGGTTTAGGGCTTTAATGGTTTAGGGGTTTAGGGGTTTAGGGGTTTAGGGCCTAGGGGTTTAGGGGTTTAGGGGTTTAGGGGTTTAGGGCTCACGTGAGTGATGCAGTTGCGTGTTGCGTGCTGTGGCGCTGTTTGCACAGTTGTCGGTTTGGATGCACTGCTCCAACGTATCCATCCACTCTCACTGCCTTGTCTGATCTCAAGATCATGCTACGGTATGTGTTATGTGTAATGTTGAGCCATGATTAATGGTTTCTACATTTCACATTGTTCTGAACGTACTGATTCAAGTTTCGCTCAGTACATCCTGGCACAGCCTGTCACCTGTGTCATGGCAAGGATTCATCAAGTGTATCACCGCACACGCACACACATAAACATAAACATTGTTTTTTTGTGTCAGACTGACGTAGTGAGTCCGCAATGAAGCGGCGACTGTCAGCTGAAGATGATTTTGAGCAAGGAGCATCCGTGACTTGGCACGATCATGAACTGCACCTTTTCGCGACAGTGTGTGTTGCAGTGTTGCAGTGCAGTGCATTGATAAATTGTTGTTGTTCTTGCATTGTTGCGACCGTGCTCACAAAGGAACAACGCCTGAGCAAGCAATCGCCACCGACTCCGCCCCCGCCCGTGTCACGCCACCCGCAGCAACATCACACGGACCATCGCGAGGGCAAAAACAAGCCGAAGGCACCATACAAAGCCATGCCGAAACGCAAAATGGAGCCGACGCCAAAGTGGGTGCCGGGGCCAAAACAGCCGCCAGGACCTCCGCCACACTGGGTTCAGTCGGAAGCTACTGCAGCTGCGTCCTCCGCAAAAAAAGTGCGAGAGCCCGTGGCAGCCGCAGCTCCCCCACCACCACCACCACCACCACCACCACCACCACCACCACCACCACCGCAACAACCACGAGCACCACCACCACCACCACCGCCACCCCTGCCCCCGCAAGGACCACCGCCACCGCCACCGCCGTTGCCAACACCAGCACCGTCACCAGCACTGTCACCGTCGCCAGCACCATCGCCGCCGCCGCTGCAAGCGGTACCATCACAGCCAGCAGGTGGGCCGCTGCACGGCGGAGCACAGGCGGCGCCAGGCGGACCACAGCTGTCAGCAGGCAGCACACCGCTGATGCCAGGTGGACCACCGCCAACTGGTCTGCCGCTTTTCCCACCACCCCTGCCTGCGCACATGCTTCCGCCGCTTCCGACATGTCCTACAATCCCAGACCTACTCCCGCCGCTGAATCCGTTCATGCCGGTGTTGCCAGAGACACTATGGGCTCAGGCGGCTACCCAGCTTCTCCAGATGTCCCCAGCACGC